GAAGATGAAACGGAATTCAACACAAATTGAATATGAAACAAAGAGATTCTTTATATTCACAAGAAATATTTACAATACCCACGGGGGGGCCCTTACACAAAAACAAAAAGAACCTAATCTATTTTGAGGCTACACCCTCAGAAGCAACATCCCCGGGAACTACATCCTCGGGAGCTTTATCTTGGGGAACCTCCTCCTCCTCAAGGGCTACTTCTTCACCTTCCCCTCCCTTGGAACCTCTCGCAGCATCTTTATCATCAGAAGAAACAATAAACCTGGCATCAGTTTCCATCGCCTTTTCTTGGGCTATTTCTTTAGTGAGGTCAAATCCTCGGGCATGGATTTCTTCGAGAGTCTCCCTCCGGGCTTGCCACTTGGCCAGATCATTAGTCCGTTTCTACCGATCAGTGGCCTCTCTCAACTCGGCTTGAACAGCCTCAGTGTCCTTTAAATGTAAAATAATGGACTTATCAGTTGTAGCCTTCGTCTTCTCAACCTCGGCTTTGGCCTGTGCAGCTTAAGCCTCGGCTCTAGAGAGCTTAGCTTCTAGCTCCTCAATTTTCTTGGCCAGGTCCAGGCTCTTCACTTTAACGCGTCGGAGCTGAGTTTCAGTCGAGGTCAATTGGGCTAGAACTGCTTCTTTATCCGCGGCAAGCTGATCCGTGCTCTCTTTCCATCGATGGCAGTCAGCCTTAACCTGATAGACCTCGCCATGGAGCTGCCCTATCATCTCCAACTTTTGTTGCAGCTGATACATCGAAGTGTTAGCATCCGCAGTAAGGCCGATAAGACCATACTCCGTTAAAATCACAGTTACATGCTTATCTAGCTCGGCCTCATTTTTTTGAGCTTTGGCCAATTCAATCCGAAGGTCCTTGAGCTCCTCCTCCTTTTGGCTACAGAGGAGCCTCACTACCTTCTCTTTACCCAAAACCTTCCTAAGCTCGGCCTCACATTGGCTCAGCTTGGCCCTGAACTTGATGATAGCCTGCACATAAAACAATGACATATCAGTCAAAGGAAGGGGAGAAAAAACAAAGTTACAATTATGAAAAATAATGTTTACCCAGGGAAATGAGACGTTGAACCTCTTCGAAGAGGGTGGATGCATCATTAAGGTCAGCAGCATCATCAACCCCGGTGAAATAGTCCCGAAAAGGATCTTCTTCGAGAACCTTGCTCGGGTCGGGCATTCTCAGAGCCCGAGCAACCTTTATTGCTTCCTCGGAGTATGATGGAAAAGAAGGTGAGTGACCCATTGTCACGGCCCTGAGCTCCTCACTTGGGGCGCTTTGATTAGTTGATGCATTCTCAGCACTTGTTCCCTCCAGCGCACTTGTTGGGGGGGGGAATGATCTCAATCTCTGGGGACTCGAAAGCTTTGCCCAAGTCTTTTTTCGAAGTTCCTTCACCGTGAGATAAGGTTTGAAATTCGGAGGGCTTGGTGGCCTTGACTGGTTTCCTAGTTCGAGGCACCAATGTCGTTTCTTCACCCTTATCCTCTTCATCCTCCAGATTTTGGGTGGCAGAACCAAAGTCCCCGTGTGTAAGCTTCCTCTTCGGCTTCCGAGCAGGGGCCCCTTCATCCTGGGAATCTTTAGGCTTCGAAGCCCTCTTTCTTTTTTGGTGTTTCCCCAATTTCGGGATCGGGGATGCAGTCTTTTCCCCGGATAGGGCTGGTCTCATTTCGGATACATCTCTGATGCCTGCACAAATAAACATGAGTGAGTTGATGCCACCAATAATGCCTTGGCCTCCCATTTTCCCCTCGATAACTCGCTCCATTTACGCTCATTGTATGAAGAGGTGGCAGCTAAAGTTCGGACCCAGTCCTCAAGGTCGGGGACCGCGTGGGGCTCCCTAGCAACGGCTACAGAAAAGGCAAAGGAATTATGAGACACAGAGGCTGAATGTGAATAGATATTGGGAAGAGGAAATCCACTTACGATTAAAGTTCCATCTCTTCGGGAATGGTATTTTGTCCCTAGGGATGGCATCCGAAGTCCTTACTCTGATAAATCGGCTCATCCATCCTCAATCTTTGTCTTCATCATTACTAGAAAAGCCTTCTTTGTTTGACGTTGCAGCTTGATGAGCCCTCGAAACAGCTGGGGCTGAAACAATCGAATGATATGGTTAAGGGTGAATTCCAACCCCTCGACCTTGCTTGAAGAATATCGTAGCATGGTCATGATGTGCCAAAAGGAGGGATGGATTTGGCCAAGGGTAACCTCGTACCTTTTACAAAAATCGATCACTACCAGATCGAGGGGACCTAGTGTGAAGGGGTAAGTATAAACTCTTTAAAACCCCTCCACGTGGATAGTGATGCTTTCCTTGGGGCCTGGATCTAAACCACGACCTCGTTTCCCCAGCCACAATCCTTCTTCATGGCTTTAAGGTATTTCTTCGATATCGAACTAATGTATCGAGATACATGTTTGCATCGGACTAGGATATCTAGAGGACTTTCAACATTAAAATCCTTCTTTATCATGCAAGGGCCAGGGGTGATTTCATGAAGAGCCGGCAGCGCCACCGGTTTGGTCGGTTGGGAAGTAGAAGAAGACGATGCCTTCTCTTTTTTGGGAACTATTTTGGAAGTTTTAGCCATAACTTTAAGCTAAGGAATACAAACGGTAGCAGAGTGTGGTATTTTACGAGAACTTGGATTTTTTCAATGTTGAAGGGGCGGTGGAAACAAATGATGAGACGTAAAGATGAAGAAAAGAGATAATCAAAGTAAATGTGAATGGAGGAGTAAAGTTTTCAATTCAAAGAAGTAGCCTCGTATTTATAGATGAGAAACGACGGTTCGGCGGTGCTAGTGGCCGACCATTATTGGCATGCATTTAATGTTCTGGGGAAGCGAACTGACGGGACGTTTCGGTCACATCAAGCGCTCACATCACGGGAGTGACATCATCATTAGAGACTCCGGAGAATCGAGGTTCAAATCGTTTCTTTTCATCTTACTCTAAGAAATGAGGGGACTATCTGTATACGGTCAAAATCAGGCACGCCCGATTTCCCAGGCTCGAGGGATCGATTTAGGTCCGAGTTCGATCAAGGTCGAGTTTGAGCCCGATAGACCATACTCGAGCTCGAAGACAGAATGCAATGCCCGAAGATAAGAGTACGAGAAATACCGAAGCCGAGTATGCTCGACCCCGAAATAATACCGTTATGGATTTCTAACAGAATGAGCGAGATTCGTTCCACGTCCCCAAAGTCATGGTGCAAATTCCGAAATACGATTGTACGATTCCGTACTAGGCGGTTAGATAGTTGTACCAATAAGATTCTTTTCTGTAAATGGAAATGTACCTTATTTCGGGTTCCCCTATTATATAAAGGGAACCCCAATCATTTGTAACATCATCTAATCATTGACAAAGAATATACTATCCTACTTTTCGCTCACTGTTCATCAGAATTGTCCTCTATCTTTATTGTTCTTACTTTATTGTTCTTGGTTCTCGCTGAGCTCGAAATCGATACTGCTAAGTAACACTGGTTTGATTCACTTACTTCTTTCATTTACACTTTATACTTCTTGATCATTAATTGGTATTGAACTAAATCACATATCTTTAAAACCATAAATTAAATTTAATTGTTGCTTCTATTTTCGAGGTAAAAAAATTTATTTATGCTTAACATTTACACCAAATCACATTAATATTTATATAGTTAAGTGATAAATTGAAGTGAGATAACATTTTTATTAACAATAGTTAAGTAATAAAACTTAAAAAAACACGTGTATATTTTTATTAGTTTGACTTAAACACTGAACTAGGGGTTTAAATGGATATTTAAAAACCGACTAAACTGACCGAACTGATTTTTAAATTTTTTAAAAATAAAACTGTAGATTCTTATATAAATCTATAACCGTACCAATAATTGGGGTATGTTTTTTTATTTTATAAAAATAACACGAAAAATATCGAACCGTATCAAATAAATTTATATGTGAAAATATTTATATATTAAGTTTTAAATAATAAAGTATTAAATTTTTTCTTGGGCCATGAAATTATGAAAATAATTACAAGCCAATAAGTAATTAAAATAAAAATCCTAATTCCCAAACATATTACTCCTACTGAAACTAAATTATTTCCAGCATATTTACTAGCAAGATACAAAGTATTCTAGCGATTATGAGTAGCAAACTATAATGTATTAAATACGTTTCCTTTCGTCTGATTTAGACGTATGAATATTTAATCTTGTATAGACTTTATTCTTGAATCTCAGTTTGGTTAATATCTTTCTGCTCATGTGATTTATCATTTCTTTGTCTTTGCTAGTTTCTTTTACGTTGCTGTAGAGTAGTGGATGAATCTATACTCTAGCCATCTTTCATATTTTTTAATTCATCACCATTTAAATAATAAAACTGTCTAGAGAGTTTTTCTAAGTCATATAAAAGTATGTATATTATGACATTTAAAAAAATACCCAAAATTAATCATACCGTAGCGATACCGAAGAGAAACCGACATAATTGGAATAATTTCGAAAAATTTAATTTTGGCTATACATAATAGAATAACCAAAAAATTCATATGGTACAAATTTTATAAAATAACCGTCATAACCGAACCATTGACACTCCTACACTTTTTCATGGAAATAAAATAATCTTCTCTCTTTTTTTCTCCATTAGTAGAAGTTAAGAGACATTTGTAAAATAGTACTATCAAAATTTCCCCCATGAGACTGTCAACCGTTAAACCCGTATGAACGTGGAATCCCAAGAAATCCACTTTCACTGAATTACGTGTAAAAAAAATGAAAAAGAAATGGAAAAAAGAATTACGAGGCGTCCCCCTCAAGAAATCGTCAAATGCCTTTCTCTTCCTAAGTTTTACCCAATCTAAATCGCCGTCACCCTTCATAAACCTCACCCCACGGCCCACCCCACCACCCCACCCACCCAATAGATAGGATATATACAACATACATACACAAGTATATATATAGAAGCTTGCACGTTCCTATAATAATCATACGACGAACTTGTTTCTCCCTTCTTCCTCTTCTTTCACGTTTCCCCCCATTATTCCTTTTTTTTCCTCTCTTCAGTTATATCTTTTTCCCCAGAATTTGAGATCCTTTCTTTGCATAAACGTGACTATATATATATTCTCCTAATTTCCTTTTGCAGAATCTCCGCACCATTATCTTCTTCTCCATAATATTTATGCCATTTTTAATTCCCATTCAATTTTTTATTCAGAAATTTCACTGCACTTCTTCAAATCCCTTTGAATCATTTCTTACATAGATCCCAAGTTTTTTTCTCTCCCATTTCAAGGTTCCTTTTCAAGTTCAGCAAGTTAGTTTTCTTTTGATTCAATTTTTATGTGATATTTTTGAGAATTTGTTGCTAATGGGTGAGTATTTGCGTTGTTTTTTAGGCATTTTGAAGAAAGATGTTGGGAGAATTCATCACTAGCAGTTTAGTGTATGTGATCTGTTTTTGTCTTCTTCTTCTTTCTACTATTGCTTTGATTCCTTCTGTTGGATTTTTTGGCTTTATGCCTTTTGTTGTTATTGTTTGTATATGTGGGGTTTCGTGCATTTTTTGACTTACTTGTGGATGAATGAATTTAACTTTGCCTTCTGAAATTTTGCAGATTGGTTCTTGGATATGCATACCCTGCTTTTGAATGTTTTAAGACTATTGAGAAGAACAGAGTTGATATTGAAGAACTCAGATTCTGGTGCCAATATTGGTAATAACCTCTCTTTTTTTTGGGTGTCTTTTTTTGGGTGTTTGAACCATTTAGAAAGCAAAGTTGGCAAAAAGGGTTTTGTAGAAATAATTGGTTTTGAGTAGTCTTTTGACATGTTCAAGCTTTAGACTAATAAAAAATGTCAATTATTGAAACTTCTAATCAATTGATTTTCATTTTATAAACTTTAGGTCAACTAATCATAACCAAACACAGTCTGTTCTTAGGAGCGTAAAAGCAAAACATTGATAAAAGAATATTTAACTAGTCCATAATTGAGATAAGAGTAGTTAGCAATTTATAACTTCCCTTTTGAAAATGACAAGCATTATGAGATTCTAGTAACTAAATGGCAGGATCCATTCTTGAAAAAATAGCAAAAGATGTAGTAGTACATTAGAGAGGTTGAGTTTGTTGGGGTTGGGTGGGAGAGTCAACAATTTTGCATCATGCGATCTTCTAATTTGTTTCCTATAATTCTTAGCATTGTTTAGTATTCTGATAGGTCACTATCCATCCATTTGAATAAGGTTATAGGTGAACTGTTTGGTCATCTACTTGTTCATTTGACTTGGTGGGACTTGATGATCTCCAATTAAAGCTTGATTAGTTGCAAATTGTGTCTTTTATCAGGATCATTGTTGCAGTGTTGAGAATTATTGAGAGCTTTGGTGATGTATTCATGGCATGGTATGAACTCTTTAGACCTTCCATCTGATACATGATCAAAGTCACACACAATCATTTATTTGTGTTGTCATTTCAGGCTACCAATGTACAGCGAGGCAAAGTTGGCACTTATCATCTACTTATGGTATCCAAAAACAAAGGGTACAGGATACATATATGATGCCTTGTTGAAGCCATTTGTGTCAAAGCATGAACCAGAGATTGACAGGGGTTTTCTAGAGTTCAGAGCCAGGGCATTTGACTTGGCTATTTACTACTGGCACAATTGCACTGAATTGGGGCAAGCAAAATTCTTTCAATTGCTTGATTTTGTAGCTGCTCCATCTAGAAGAAATTCACATCTCAGCTCCGAGGTACTTCCATCTAACCATTTAAATGCCTGATGATCATATTTTCTTAATCTGGTGAATTTTTTTTTTCTTCTGTAGATTAGTTTTTTCAAGTGAACCATTTTAATTAACTCAAAATCTATAAAGGACTAAGAAAGTAAAAAGAGAAGAGGCAATAACATCCGTAAAATGCGTATTCATGCTTAGGGGTCGTTTGGTAGTGTGCATAAGAATAATGTGGAATACAGTGTATTAGTAATGCTGGTATTAGTTGTGCTTGCATTAGTTATGCTGACATATTTCTTATCCATTGTTTGGTTTGATGTATTAAAGTATAACACAATTTCTAAATGAATTGTTTGTTTACAAAAATGCCCTAAAAAAACCATCACTCTATCTTTTTAGAAGAAACATATGTTAGGAATGTTTTTATATGAAAAAGTTTTAAAAAAATTATTTGATTTGTCTACCTATATTGTAGTATAGAACTGAATATTTATTTAAAAAAGAAAATATGCTAAGTATTTATTTATTTACTATGGATATAATTTTATTTCTCACTATTTGGATTATTTTAAACTTACATTAATATAATAGCATATTTTAATCAAGCATAAATTTTAAAGGATAATTTTGTCGTTAACTAAGCTAATGCATGCATTTAAACCCATTGCATAGCTAATAGCATGGTTTTCTATGCACTAGTTATGCATATGATAATATCAAATAGGATGTATAACTAATGCATAGGTTCAAAAAGTATACCAAATAAGATATTATTAATACACAAAGCTAATGCACGCATTATTTTATCTAATGCATCCTATTAAACGATCTCCAGTATTTTAACAAAACCAATAGATGCAAGTCGTTCATCTTTTATACATACATTTATATGTATTCTCACTTTAGTTTATAGTTTCTAAGGTTTAATCTTGTTTTATTTGGTGCAAACACTATGTGGAATAAGTGTTTTTTTTTTAATATTCCGTCCCAAGGGCGAGAATAGCACCAATAGAAAAATCGAAAATAATTTGAGATAAGAGTAAAGAAGGCAGTGAACAAATTCGTACTGGAGTCTAAGAAGTTCATTTGCTAGGTCTCATTATGGATCCAATATTACCCTGGCCAGCCCATGAGATCATATTGGGCCGGTCCAACTTCTTTTTGAATCTTCGGCCACGATGTTTCAAAGTGGACTAACTTAGCTCCTCCATACATTTTGACTTCCCTCGTATATCACGTCTGCTTCCTCAGACAAGATATATTCTGTTCATCTCATCTCCATGTCCATGAAGCAAGAATTCTTGCCCATGCTGATACTACCAAATTTTATCTTCCTATTAATCATTTTGGATACTCATAATCATCTTCATTGGTATAATCAATTTTTGTATTATTATTACCATGTCACGAAATGAGTTCGTTTTAACCCATTCTTGAAATCAACATCCCTAGGAACGAGTGTTTGGGCAATTTGAAGTTTATAGGTCACTACATCAACTCAAATTATTATATATACAATAATAATAGGGCTTATAGTCAAACATTTATAAATATTTAGCAATTTTTAATTTAAATACAAAATTTGGGCAAAACTATTGGTTCACAGTAACCCATAGGCTTAAAGTTAGATCCGTCCCTGCTTGCATTGCACTTGAACCATAGGAAGTATGAAATTGCGTGAAAATCGTAGGAATGAGCCATGTAAAAAAGAATAATGAAAATGCTAAGAGCAGAGAAGGAAGAAAAGTACTCCCTCCGTTTCAATTTATGTGAACCTGTTTGACTGACATAGAGTTTAAGAAAAAATGAAGACTTTTGGAATTTGTGGTTCTAAACAAGTCAAAAGGGGGTCCAGAGTATTTGTGCGGTTATAAAAGTTTCTCATTAAGGGTAGAATTGTAAGTTTAAGTTAAATTGTTACCAAATTAAAAAATGAGTCATTCTTTTTGGAACGGACCAAAAAAGAAATATGTTCATATAAACTGGAACACATGGAGTAATAAGGAAATAAATAAAAAAAGGCACATTTGGAGGCCTGGAGAAATAAGAAGTAGCTAGAAGGGGCTGGAACCAGAGAGGCTTATAAAAGATTGATCAAAAGCGGGGGATCGGAAAGTAAAAAGGGAAGGAAATAATAGGAATGACATAGCTATATTTTGTGAGAGACTTCTACTGAATAAGTTTGTTCTTGATGAAGTGATAATTCATGATCTTCACAAAGGCGTGATATAATCAAATGCGTTTTTGGTGATATGGTTAGTGACTAAATTTTTTTAAATTAGATGTTGATAAACATAAATTTTTAAGCGAATTATAAATTATACTATCAAACTAAACAGTAAAAGATTTTTCTAGAAAAATAAACCTTGAGTTTCAAACGCTAAAAGTCACGTGTAATCAAAATTATAAAGTGAAAACATTTGTTTTCATGATGTGAAATAAAACGAAACATGATGTATGTTACAACAAAACTCTAGGTTGATTGTAAAATACAAAGACTTGAAAACTTAATCGCTTATTTCCGAACGAATCTTCAGATTAAATTACTAGGAACCATCGTTTTGAATAAAAATCCGATTTATAGACTTATTAATATTGAGAGACAATCTTACACGTTTCATATATCGTGACATATTCTCTATTCACCAATTAACCAAAATGCCCCAAACGAATATTACACTCTTTTAATAGAAAACCTTTTTTAATTCTAGGAATTCTGGTTTATTCGCTCACCACTTTTTCGCATCAATCAACACCAAGACAAACAATCATACAAATCAATGAATAGCAACAAATTAATCACCGAATCATTACTCACCGTTTATTTAATTACCACTTTATTTCCCACTATCACCATCATCAATTTACTTGTTACTTCTTTTTTATATTTTAGACTTGTATGTGTATAGAAATTCATAATTTTTAATTTTGTTGATCAATTCTCGCAGCAAAGAAATGGGACTGACCATTCTCGAGGACCGCCACCTCCTTCGGCCCCACCAGCACCACCGTCATCATCATCCTTCAGTTTATTCAGGAGGAACAAGCCGCCGTCAGACAAGAGGCAGCCACCTCAATCGCCGCGGTCTTACTACGATCACCGGTCAACTTTTCATCCTTCTAAACCGGAAACGGTCCAAGTTCACCCGGAGGATCTTTCATTCCTAGACACAGACTATTTTGAACCCGGTTCGGACCATGCTGCCCGGCCCAGATATAGGCGCAGTTAGTCAACAGATAGTTTACTAGAAATAGTAGTAAGAAAATTGTACATTGTAAATAAGCCCCAAAAAAAGAAAAGTAAAACTCAGATTTTTAAATACTTTTTTTATTGAACGTTTTTCCAGCTCCATTTGTTTTGTATTTTTTTCTTCTTTTTTTTCAGTTTTTCTGGAATTACATGAGAAAATGAAAGGCGTTGTACATTTATGACCCCAATTTTTAATCTAGAAGTTGACAAATCAAAAACGGAAGAATATATTCTGTATATCGGGTCGGGTCACCCTAACAACCCGTTGTTTTTGTCGTTATCTGGAGCTCCGAACCCGAACAGCACGAAGAAGCCAATCAACAGCTTTAGTCAAGGGAGCAAAAATGTACCGATCAATGCAGTCAAGAATTCCGGCGACAGGGTTATTGACCGGGAAGAGGAAGGTGCGGCGGAATAAGCTCCGACCGGAGGAATCCGGTGAAGTCGACATCGGCTGGAGATAAGCCCAAGCGGCTTGCTTAACGAGGCGATTCCGGATTGAAATCTCGGAACCGGATTGGCCTTGGTGAGGCGAAGTCATAGGCCTGGGAGAATTGACGGCGGAAGGTGGCAGGATATCCCTCAGAGAAGTGTAGGATACAGGCTTAATAGAGAACAGCTCAAAATCATCGCTCGCCGAGTTCGTCAACGATGACGAAGCCGACGAAGATGACGTGGCGGTGGTAGTGATGGTGGTTGAAGCTGATGTTTGATGCTGTAAGGTGAGCTTTTTAGGAAGCATAACGGAGTTGCGGCGGCGGAGGATAGGGTTCTCCGCTGCTGTGGTGGACTCAACGTCAGACATGGCTTTAAGGGAAACTTCTTGAGAGAGAGAGAGAGGCAGTGGTCAATAGGGAGGAACGGAGGGAGGGGCGTATGAGTTAGGTGTTTCGGCTATATAGGAGGGAATTGTGGACCCGGCAGTCAAAGTAGTGAAAGTACATTTTAGAATCTGGTTTAAATTATATTTTCCTATTTTCCTATGTTTTAGTGGGCGTTTGGAAAAATTCCAAAAAAATCCAAAAAAATAAAGTAAAAATTTTTTTAAGTGAAAATAATATTTAAAAATTAGAGTTGTGTTTGGACATGAATATAATTTTGGGTTGTTTTTGAGTTTTACGAGTGATCTGAGTGAAATTTTTGAAAAATAATTTTTTGGAGTTTTTCAAATTTTCGAAAAATTCCAAAATGCATCTTCAAAGTGAAAATTGAAAATTTTATGAACAAACGTTGATTTCGAAAAAAAAGTGAAAATTTTTCGAAAAAATGAAAAAAATTTCCTATGTCCAAACGGGCTCTTAATGAGTAAAATTAGTGGATATTTTGTGTTAATAACAAAAAATCTCCAAGTTCAAGACTTTCATGCACTATAAATATTTACTAAATCATATTATTTATATCATAATTATAATTATTCTTTAATACAACAACAACAACAACAACCCAGTGTAATCCCACAAGTGGAGATAATTATTCTTTAATAATAAATAATAATAATTTAGTAAATAAATTATAAGTAACTTACTATCACAAGCAAGATTTACAAATAATGTAAAAGTTATTGTAGAATACATTGGTAGCCGCTTAAATTTGTCATCATATTTGATTTTAGACAATCAAATTAAGGTCTTTTCTGATTGAGCACCTGAACACATTGTAAAATATTCCTATCAGACATTTGGTTTTCTTTTCTCGGGAAGATTTTGAAAAATGGCTCTTGATATATATATATATATATATTTTGTTAACGGAGCCGGTCTTTTGTTTAACATAACGGCCTTGTTTTCAATTAATTTGATTTTTTAGGGTCTTATTTTTGTTTGTTATAATAAAGGCTTTTATATATATATATAATATTCAAGAATGTAACATATTTTAAGTGATTAACTTATCCACGTAATAGGCGTTTGATACCATAGGCACCCAGAAGCTTTAAAAAGGTTTGAACCTCAAAAATATTTAGTAGAAACACTTTATGCTCAATTGTCAGTGTAGAATACATCGGCAGTCTCTCAAACTTGTCTGCATATTCATTTAGACGCTTAAAAAAACTCAGATTCTGAAATAATAACAGTCAGTAGATTAATTGAAGTATTATTAATTTATCTTTTATTTTAGAAATAATTGTGTGTAAGGAAGCGTAGCGGTAGTGGGGCTAATGTTTAGCTTATGATTTTGGATTGTTGGAGTAACGCAGTTACTGACGTATATTGTCACCATCTTTCACTTGGTCTAGGTTTTTTGCTGATCTTTTGTCTTTCTCTATTTCTCATTTATTTCTTTTTCTTTTAAGGAATGCTTTTAAATGAATTAAATTTGTTTCTTTTTTTATGTCATTGATTTCAATTGTGGCAAGCTGTTAATTAGTTTTCCTTGTAGGTGCACTTATTTCACATAGTAATCGAATTAGATTTCACAAATTTTAGAGTCAAACTACATAAATTTTGACCTTGTTTAACCCAAAAGATAGTGTTTGAAGTCAAAGCAAATGAATAGAATAATTTCAATTTCTAACAATCAATTTACTTTACTTTTGCAAAGAAAAAGAAGAAAGAAGAAATCTTATTGATGATTGTCGCTTTCTCCAATAAAAAAGAATAATTCTTCTAATAATAGAGAACAATAAGAATTTTGGTAATTGACAGTATAATTTAGTTTAATTTTCGATGAAATACAAGATATGGGAAGGAGAGAAGGGGTTTAAACAGTACTATTTCTTATAATCGTTTGCCTTGTTTAGCTCCTGCCAATTACTGCTATGTACTGCATTAATTGCTCGTTACGTGAGTGATTTGTAACGGTTGAGGCAATAATAACAAATTACGTATAATTAGAAATTTGATTGATTCTTTCCATATTCGTAATCATTAATGGCCTTTTCATATACGTGACTACTACTGATGCTAATTATCAACCCCACAACTATTTTTTTATATTCAACCTTGAGACCTACATGTACAATACCTGCACAAGGATCCTGTGGGTGTTGCTCATAACCCCTGTACCCGTCATTATTCTTGTCGTTTTAACTCCATGACACTTGTCATTGAAGTATTAGTCCACGTGGAATGAAATATAGTCCCCCCCTCTGCCCCAACATTCCGAATATTTTCAAATGAATATTCGAGAAATGGAGAGTTTATTTATGGCGAGAATATTTGTTGCCTCTTTCCAAGATTATTATGATGTGCTGGAGAAGTGAAGAGACGTGCACTCTTTCCATTTAATGCTCAAAATACGCATCTGATCGTAATTGGCTCTAAAGTTTACAGTGGTTTCCCAAGCATAGACAACGTCAATTTGGGATGATAGTTCCATAATGACAGTCTATGATGACGTATCAATTTCTTAGATATGAAACTTTACATCTTTAATACTCTCCTTCTTATCTTGTCTTCTTCTGCAATTCCCTTGAATATTTCTTTACTCTTGCTCTCTTTTCTATCTCCAATGGCTTCCAAATCTTCAACTCCTACTACTTCTTCTCCTCGTCGTGCTGTTATAATCGATGATCTTCCTCCGACTCTAGCTCCAGTTAGAAATAGAAGGAGGGGTGGTACGCTTCATAGCCTAGGCTTTATGGAGAATAAAAATACTTCTTCTTCTAAAGGAATTTTTTAAAATTTGCCTCCTCTTCTAAAACCAGAGTATCTACCACTCCTAATTCCTCTTCTCAAAGTAAAACTAAAGATCCCAATGAATCTTTGCCTGAACCTTTAGTTTCTAAAATTATTCCCAAAAAATTCTCTTTTGCTTATGATTGTGCTGTGTGGAACAAAGAGGTAACCACATTAGAAGGTCGCAACGAGCATGTTGACCTTTATCCATCTCTGAACAAATCTTGTCATCTCCTCCTTGTTCTTAACGAATGTTATTGAAAATCTTAATTTCCAAGCGTGATTCCTTGTGAAGATAATCGAATAATCACTTTTCGTGAGGGTTATTCGATCACCTACACTTATCCTATTACTCTTGGGTTTAAATCGGTGATATATCCAGTAATCTTCGAGTTTGGACGTTACTTTAACGTGTGTCTTCGACAAATAGGTCCGGTAGTTTAGAGGGGAGTAACGTGTCTTCGCTACTTGTCAAGTTTAGTTTCCACTACCTTTACTTTTCTTCACCTTATTCATCTATATTCTCCGAAGCTTTCCAGTCTTGGTGTATTCACACTCGCGGCAACAAGTAAGCGAGTTGTGGTGAGTCCCGAGGATGATCACAATAGATGATAGTATAGTAGATTCGTGGTTGTCCCAATCCGTGAGTTGGTAGGAGAAAAGAAAAGCCTTTTTCCCAAAATATGGAACATCACTACGTTACCCTACTATATTTTTCTCTACTTGAAATTACAATTTTTTTCATATATCTTTTCACATCAACTATGGAGATTTTTTATGAACTTCTGAATTTCCATGGGTGGGTAGAATTGATGCTATCTTCTGCCCAATGGAATAGAAAACTTGGAAATTTCTTTCCAAGAAGTTTGAATAAAAAATAAAGATCCACGGTAAGTTATTTTTGCACCGTGCGTATTTTTCGTAATTTTTATTTTTAAACATTCCACTCTTTGGATGTATGATTTGAGATTCGTGGTGTTTCTCCCTTTTCTGCTCCTGATGTTAGACTTGATGTCAACACTGCTCAGGAGCATATTTTTAGCTTGTCCTCTTCAAAGAGAAAAGATAAAGAAACTCCCATCTCTGATAGGGAAGAAGATGAGAGGGCTCTCTTATGAAAAGGCATCAAACTAGGAGCCAAATAGTCTTAGAGGATGAACAAAACTTTTCTTAAGTTCGACCTTTGAAAAGCATACCTTCTTATTTGATTGATGAGCCTAAAGATACTCCGTTGGTGATTTCGGATGAAGAAACTATTGACCCAGCTTCGATTCCCCCCTCGGTACCAGTTGAAAAATTATTTTTTCAAGGGTTTGAAGGTCGCGGTGATGAAGACTTCAACTTTGCTATTGAGGAACAACCTCCCGCTACTTTACCTCTGACTCTTGGTACTCTTGTTGCTACTTCTCAAGGTGAAGTTAGCTCTTCCAACAAGGGAAAGATGAAACAAGAAGTAATTAAAGTCCCCGATGGTGTTAACCTTCTAAAGAAACTTGACTAAGCTGATGTTTGGTTAAAACCTTTAATCGGTCCTGTTGAAAGAGAAAACTTAGAATCACACACTTCAATTACCCTACTAAATGATGTGATTCACTCAGCACTGAGGGTATAACTCCTTTCCTTTGCTCCTTTATTTTGTTTCCTTCATATTCATATAACTTTTTCTTTTTTTTTTTTGTAGATCAATTTGACAGGTACGGAGCTGATAAGGAGGGTGGCTTAGATTGAGCAGGAAGTTGTTGAATTAGTTATGGCATATGACAATTGGAAGGCACAGTTTGAGAGCTTTCAACTGGAAAAAGAGGTTTTGACTAAGGTGAAAGAATTTTTGGAGAAGTAACTCAGGCGATCGTCTGCTGACCTACCGATGGTGAAGGTTTCAACAAATCATACGGAGAAGGAAAAGGATAGAACATAAGCTACTTTTGTTGAGCAACATTCTAAAACTACATAGGAGATTAGAAGTTTGAAAGAACTTTTAAATCAAAATAAAGTATATGTGGGTAAATTAGTTCAAGAGTTTTCCCATGCTAAAGAAGACCTACATGTCTCATTTTAAAATATTTAATTCCTTGAATCTTCTTTGGAGCCTTTGAAGATCTCCAACGATGATACACAAGCAGAAAAAGAAAGTTTAAAAGCTGAAGTTGACCAACTAGAGAGGGAGTATCGGGCTTTTGATGATAAA